GTAATCCAGTATTCACAAAATTTGCTTATCTTCTATATTTTTATTTTTCATTTATATTTTCTTTAGTGACTAAGTTGCAGAAGTTAACTTCTGTCTGAATTTCTGTAATGAGAAATTATCATTATTTACATCTGAATTATTGTCCTCATCTTTGTTATTGCAACCTCAGCATTTCAGCCATTTTTGCCTTGTGAATCTTAGGTAATCTACAGGGCTTTCTGAACTGAACCCTTTATTTAACCTATGAGGATACTTCTTGATCCACTGCTTATGTCTAGAAATCTCATTTAGTTCTTATTTTTAGTACTACTCAAGTATTGAACAGTACTAAAAAGTACACACTGCCAGCGCAAGGTTTGAACTCACAATTACTAGGTTACCAAATTCACAAACCAGTGCTTTAATCCTCTTGGCTATTGTGAAGAACTTGGAGCTTTAAACCTGAATGCTGATGACTGCTTGTCATTCCCTGGATTGACAGACACCTGATGAAGGCTGGAGGATACAATGGTCGAAATGTTGTGATAGTAACAACAAAGATGAGGTGAATAGTCTTTATGTAAAAAGTGTAAATAATGTTGTACAAGGGTTTGTGTTTAAAAATTCAATGCGATTATCTTGTTTCCTAAATATTCCAGTCATGTAGCCTTCTGCCAGTGACAGCCAAGTTGAACTCAGGTGATAGAAACTCAAACTTAAAGTCTAGCGGTCCATAAGATTTGTCAAAAAGAATAAAAAGCTCTCACACTTAGAAAGAAAAGTACTTTTTAGAGAAAAGATTTCTTTCGACTTAAATTAAAAAAAAAATTCAGTACAAACTTCTGAAATTGTCTACATACAGAAAAACAAAAAATCTTTCATTTAAATATTGAATCGATTGCTATGTCTGCAGTTGGAAAGTTGATTCATCATATTGTGGATTATGTTAACATTGTTCAAAAACAATTATTCAAAAAACATTTATTTGAATTTTAAATTGTTTGAACTTCACATCATGTCAATGGAAAACGTGAGCCCAAGAAAGGCTAAGCAAATTAAAAAGAACTAAATTCTAAACTTAACTGTAAAATTTTACATAAGGTTTTAAGTCCAAACTTTTGATATGTAAAAGAAATACCTTTTAAAATTATTTTATCCCTGTAGACAAAAAATAAAAAGTATAATTCTTATCACTATTTTTTTCATCTTATTGCTTTTTATCAACTTTCTTGGTCAAATATCCTCCAATTTTTAAATTAAGCAGCATGTGGAGATAATGAGATACAGTAGAAAACATTTACAGACAATGTATTTCATTTCTGTGTGGTGGGTATCTTCAGGTTAGAATGAAAGACAGATCTGTGTGTAGAAAAATTTTTGTAATGCCCTTTTGTGGGAGAGTCTTTGTAAATTACAGATACAATAATAGTAATGCCTTTGAACAATACTCAGTCAGACACTGCTAATTTCCATATATATATATATATATATATATATATATATATATATATATATAAAGATAACCCTTTATGAAGTCATCAAAAAACAAACGTTATGGCAAATTTTTTTATATGCACAAATCCTTTCATAAAAAAATAAAATAAAAAAATAAATAAATCTCCATAGACACGCAAACCAGACTAGAGTTATACTTCTTCCGTTCCAAATTTAGACACCCCCACCTTTCCCTGACTTGACATCTACGAAAGTAACTCTATACTGATACTTATTATTAACACCCAACACCCGCCTACCCAATTTAAACAATTCGCCCTAGCTGTTACCATGGAAATTTTGATTTCAATTATTAAAACATGTAAATTTCAGAAATACGTTATTCCAAAAAAAAGTTTCGCTTGATGATGGAACAGAGCTTACTTGAACTCAATTTAATTCAAATAATTATATTGAATTTTTTGGCTATTGTTTTGAAACATGAGACCTCTTATGTCGCGAGTTGAATCATATTTTTAAATAAATAATTATATATATATATATATATATATATATATATATATATATATCTTTTCTTTACCCATCACATGATCTAATTATTCTAAGATGAGGTTGACTGTGCTTGCTCTCTGGCGATCTGTGTTCAAACCCAAATGTCAGCAGTGACACTTTATTCCTATGGGACAAAAATACATCAGAATTTTTGAGGAAGGGATAATAAATAACTTTATCAAGCATTGTGGGTGTGCAGTGTGGTTTAAAAGTAAACAGCTTGGAATGAGAAATTGAAGAGGCAAGTTCAAATTCCAGTTAGGTTTGTTAAATTTGCTTATGGATAAATACCCTTGAGAAAGGTATGAATCCATCTCTTCTTTCCCTAGTTATGAGTTGCCTAGCAGGACAGACTGGGCTTTATTGCCTTGATTGGCAACCAGTCTACTGCTGAAAAGAAATGGCTGCCTACTGTAGGAAATCTTTTGCCTAATCAGTCATGGATCAAAAGAGACATGATCGTCCAAGTGTGTGTAAGTTATGGTACTTGATTGGCTGACTGACTAACTGACAAGTACCATGGCTAGAAAGTGCTTTTTTCTTTTTTGTACTGATGTTGTTAATGTCTGCTGGAGTTGAAAGATTAAGTAGTATATTGTCAGATTAAAGCAATAGCTTCAAATAAGACTAGAACTCACATCCTTTCTCCCAACAGTTTGTTTTACATAGCTGGCTTCTTGACCAATTTGATCATGGAAACCTTATGGTGTTCAAGTTTCCAGTTATATTGTCACTCATCCTTTAATTTAATAATGTTCATAGTGAATTGAGATATTACTTATCAATCATTCCTTTCATTCATAAAATCTAACATGACTGAATTTGTGCACACATAACAGGTACAATGTCTTGGATTTTGAACAAAGTAGAATCCAAATAAAAAAAATCTGGAGAGTATATTTGGAAGTTAGTCTTGGAGAGTTTGGTGTTTTCTTTAAGTGTAAGAATTTTTCACTTACATTGGATTTATAGCTTTTAGAACAAGAAATAGCAAAAGGATAAAGCAAAAAAAAAAAAGTCAAGAAATTTAACACAGAAGCAAGAAATAATTAAATTTATAAAAAATACCTGATAAGGCATCTTTTAAGCTAGCTCCTGCTGATAGCTCTTGTTTGGGCCTTCATCGCAATAGGTAGAGAGGAGTAGATGTGATAGGTAACAATAAACTACAGAAGAACTCAAAATTGATTGCTGCAGTTAAATATTGCATTAATATTTAAGCTTACTTTTTAAAAGTTCAACAATAATTCTTCTGGTGTCCAGAATGTTTTTAATCTGCTCACGGAGTTGGCCTGATTCCAAAATGGTATGACATGTTGGGCTATGGCCTCTAGGAGTAAAGTGTAATAAGTGTGACACAATGACATGGTGACATTCACATTTATTATGTCGAAAGACAGAAGACATTTTGAATAAAAAACAAAGTAATAAAGATCTGATTTTAAGGTTAATTTATGATTTTTTGGTATTATTTCTTTATTTACTTAGTGAAACATTTAAAAAAATTGTAACTTTGCATAAGTAAATAGTAAGTGTCTGGATCCACACAAGCATAATTTTCAGAACATCATTTTGCATTAAATATTATCTTAGATCATAGTGTCTATAAACCACATTGTAGTTAATTCTGCAATCTTTTCAGTGATTGCATTGTATGCAACTTACCAGAATCATAACCATTCGATGAAAAAAAAAGCTTATTTTTTACTAATAGATAAGTTTATGAATTGTAACAACTAAATTCTATGGAAAATTTATGTACACTAGTAAAATAACGCATAATAAACCATTTTAAAATATATGAGTAATTAATAAATTTAGAAAAGTGTAGATTTATTCAATGAGATCCCTGTTTTTGATGCTGTTCTGCAATTTTTTTATATTCAATTCCATTGATTATCAATGGTAGTCAAAGATCAGCCCTTTTCACCATGTCGAGTCTATTACTATATTAATTAATTTATATTAATATTTTATTTTGTTAATATTCAAAATTAATATCATTATTTATTATTAATATATTAAATTAATTTATATAATAAATTATAATCTTTATATAATTTTCCTCTCTTTCCTTTATATATCATTCTAAGTTTTTATTCAATTTTTACAATCAAAACATCCTGTACAGTAAAAGGGATGAAAACTTACATTGCTTGATCTTGTTTTCTGCCAGTTGAATTGTTTTTTTTTATTTTTAGTATTTTAATATGGTGTAGATTACTGTAAAAATTCCAATTCTTAGTTGTAACAACTGTTCCTAAGAGAAATTGCTCTATGGACCACTAAAATATTACTGTAGACTGCAAATTTGCTATTTTTTTTGTGTGTGGACCCCCAGTAATGTTACATAGACCCACCAGGGTCCATATGGATCCTGGTTGAGAAGGAGGAAAGTGGAACAGAAAAAGTTTACACAGATAAAGAAGAAATTTGAGGCAACAGAGATGTGGTACTACAGAAGGATGCTGGGGATACCACTGACAGGGCATAAAAGCAAACAATAAGGAAAAAGGAAACAAATAAAACACTTAGAATCAGAAAGAGACCACTTCAATTTTTTGGAACTATAATGAGAAAGATGGGCATGAAGAATTTGATACTCACAGGACATACTGAAGTCAAGAGGGACAGGGGTCTGGCACCAAGTCACATACCTGATAAATTTGTGTGAATAGATGGCAGAATGAGAGGTGGGGGGAGAGATGGCAAAAACACAAATGTTACTAACAGCGAGAAAGGATAGAATATTGTCTACGCCACTGTCTACCTGCAAGAGTGAGATTAAAGGTTCAATCTCGGTTTAATCCCACCCACAAATCAGTTTTGAATTCAGGCTAGTTACCAATCACAGCTAGAGAGAGAAGTCTACTCCTAGCTGTTGGGGGAGAGAAGGGATGGATTTAAATGGTGAACAATGAATTAGAGATGTCAGCATCAAAAAAAAGTACAAAAGTTTAAATATCTGGAAACTGTTTCAACAGAGGACTGAAATGCGACACTGGAATAGCTTT